ACACACAAACAGTAGGAAGCTAAATGTGGAAACTAGCTTTGTCTAGTTTATACACACAAACAGTGTGAAGATGAGTATTAATGTGAAGTGTACAAGACCGCTACAGACTGAATTATCTCAATTTAATCTGACTCAGGTTGTAAGAAAACATTTTCAGATTCCAAATACTATCTTGTTTATTAGAATTTTGTGGTCAGCTTGTTTTATGGCTCAGTATTTTTAAGGTTTCGTGAAAAAAACTCCTTTATCCTTTTTTTTTTGTTGTTGTCAAAATTGTCTTTTATTTAAAAACAAACCAGGCAGTCAAGTGGTCTGGAGTTCTGGAATCGTATGGTAGAAATGCCAACAAAGTTAGCCGGGGTTCATCCACAGTTCAGATTGAAACATCCTCGACAGACAATCAGAATGCTACAGAGTTGAATGTTACAGACACATTACAGCCAGTTGAGATGTGCATTCCTCAAAGAGGTATTAGTAACCGTCCAAGTTCCTCCCTCCGAGAAGAAATAAACACTCAGAATGCATCTCCTGAAAATCTTATTTTTTACCACAATGTGACCCTTGTAACAGCAGAAACCTCTGTCAGCATTGATATAGTACCAAGTAATCCAGATGCAGCTCTAATAGTGCTAGTTAAGTATGGAAAGAGGCCAAGACTTCACGACTATGACTTCATCACTCGGATTCAGGATATGCTTGAATGTAAGTTGTTTTTTCCTGGTTAATTTGTAGTTTTTTTTTTAACCACTTGATGACATCATCATTCGAAGAAGAAGCTTTGTTATTGAAATATGAAAATATGTTATGTCTTTTCAAAAGTTTTTTTTTATATTTTTTTATAGTTACTTTTAAAAGATTACTTTGTTGAAAAGAGTTACTTATAAATTATAAATGTATTTGCTTTTACTATGGTCCTTCTGACAAAACACTTTATCAAAAGATTAAGTTGTGCTTTTTTTTTTTTTCCATCCAGAATATTGATTCGGGTTTATTTTTTCACAGATGATGGAGTTTACAACCTGTTTTTGTCCCAGTTCAACCAATCTGAGGGAGGTCAAAGATTCTTTTTGGGTATAGCTCACCTAGCGGATCACATCGATCCACTAGAGTTCTTCAACGATCCCTTTCGTCATAACCTGACAATGGACGACATTAGCACTAACTTCACCTCAAACTATTCTATTGCTGTATACACATCAGCTTGCCTGTATTTTGAAGAAAGTACCGAAACGTGGAAAGGCGATGGTTGCCATGTTAGTAACATCTTTGTACTTGTTGAATGAAAACTGTTTCCATAAGTGTCAGTATTCTTAGACTCCAATATTTATCTTATATTAAACTAGTTCAGTTTGTCAGCAAGCTTGATTGTTTCTTTCAACTTTTAAAGAGGTGACAAAAATGTCAATAAAAAACTTTTTCCCAACGATAACATTGTTTAGATTTTTTAATTCCATTGTCATTTTCTTTATAACGCAGTAATTATAAAAGTGGTGTAAAGATATGTAATATAAAAAAAAGATCCCAACATTTTCTTAATGTCTTTTGTTTTAACTACTGCTATAATATACTAACATTCCTAGTAGTAATGTGTCACATTATCTTCTCTAGCTGCTGTAACATTCCTAGTAGTAATGTGTCACATTATCTTCTCTAACTGCTGTAACATTCTTAGTAGTAATGTGTCACATTATTTTCTTTAACTGCTGTAACATTCCTAGTAGTAATGTGTCACATTATTTTCTTTAACTGCTGTAACATTCTTAGTAGTAATGTGTCACATTATTTTCTCTAACTTCTGTAACATTCCTAGTAGTAATGTGTCACATTGTCTTCTCTAACTGCTGTAACATTCCTATTAGTAATGTGTCACGTTATTTTCTCTAACTGCTATAACATTCCTAGTAGTAATATGTCACATTATCTTCTCTAACTGCTGTAACATCCCTAGTAGTAATGTGTCACATTATTTCTTTAACTGCTGTAACATTCCTAGTAGTAATGTGTCACATTATCTTCTCTAACTGCTATAACATTCCTAGTAGTAATATGTCACATTATCTTCTCTAACTGCTGTAACATTCCTAGTAGTAATGTGTCACATTATCTTCTCTAACTGCTATAACATTCCTAGTAGTAATGTGTCACATTATTTTCTTTGACTGCTGTAACATTCCTAGTAGTAATGTATCATGTTATTTCTTTAACTGATGTAACATTCCTAGTAGTAATATGTCACATTATCTTCTCTAACTGCTGTAACATTCCTAGTAGTAATGTGTCACATTATCTTCTCTAACTGCTATAACATTCCTAGTAGTAATGTGTCACATTATTTCTTTGACTGCTGTAACATTCCTAGTAGTAATGTATCACGTTATTTTCTTTAACTGCTGTAACATTCCTAGTAGTAATGTGTCACATTATCTTCTTTAACTGCTGTAACATTCCTAGTAGTAATGTGTCACATTATCTTCTTTAA